TGTAATTATGTCAGCTTCAACCTCAGCAATATAGTCCTCAAGAGAATCACAAAGATTTTCAAAGTATTATTCTAAGAAAAAGGAATAACTTGCTCACTTAGGAAAAATTACTGTCGCTCAAATTAATTCAGACAGTATCAGTAATGAAATAAGCTTACTCAATGATTAAGTGTTCACACACACAGAATCAGCACACAATAGATATATTGTGTGTACACGTGCGAGGGGCAGTCATTAACAACTCAAATTACGTATTAAAAATGCCTGTATGAAAGTAATTTTAAATATGTTTGAAAATGTAAAACCTACATGCATAAAATATGACAGTTAAATACCACATAGTCCCATTGGGGAGTGCTTTCTTTCTGTCTGTCTCTCTCTGATGAGTACATGTCTCCCCTACCACTCGACTCCCGCATAGTCAACCACTGTTCAAGTCCTGGACCCAGTGGCTTGAAAGTCATGGCAGGCATGTGTACATGCATGCCCAAGATCCAAGATCCCAGGAGGAGAATGGAGGAGAGAAGATTGCAGTGTGGTCATGTCCCTGGGGCAAGAGCAGGGAAGGGAGTGATTTCTTACTTTCTCTTTCATTGTCTCTGTCTCTCTCCATCACATATGCCTTAAAAATCTCTACTAAGAACAAAGATTAACAAATATGTGTGTGTATATATGTGTGTGTGTGCGTGTATATATATATATAGAGAGAGAGAGAGAGTTTATTTCTAGTGAGTAGTTGATCTATTCATAGAATAGATCATCTTTCTATTAATTAATTCTAATTATCAAATTATATTTTATTCAGGATTAGTCTTTTATTTCATTTTATTTTACGATTTATTACCTTTATAACAGAAAGACAGAAAGAAACCCTCCACTGAACCTTCACACCACAGTCTTCTCCAGTCCTGCAGCTAGCCACACAGAACAAGGAAATAAACTCTTAGCTTTTCCATATGTCCTTCCTCCCACCATCTCCAACTGCAACTGAGTGCAAGGTTACTCCTTTTGTGTCTGGGATTATCCCAAGATCATAAAGATATTATAATTTTACCTCTGCAATATTTTTTTTCTTTTACATTTAATACTTGGCTTAACTCAAACAAAATTCAGAAATGCTTGGCAAGAATAAGTTTGTCTGGGAAAATTAAATGCCAAAGAAAATACATTTGCAGTTATCCATGAACCATTTTAATTAACACATTTTTGGAAATAGTTGAGACAGCCACCTTTGATACCAAGTTATGAAAAGAAGAAAATCTAGATTATTTCTTTTTCTCTGCTGTATATCTAATTTGGAATCAGGCAGATAAACAATGAAGATTTGAATATTTGCTATTTTTCTTTCTATACATTTGATCTGTTTAAATAGAGCCAGAATTAAAACCTGCCATAATAAAAACCTGTTTTACTTTAGGGGAAAAAAAGAAAGAAGAAAGAAAGAAAGAAAGAAAGAAAGAAAGAAAGAAAGAAAGAAAGAAAGAAAGAAAAAAAGAAGAAAGAAAGAAAGAAAGAAAACAGATGTGCTACCCGCCCTATTGTAGTTGACTTTATACATCATGGGACTCATCCCCAAAGTTGGACATTGAGCCAATGGCCACAAAACATCGTCAAAGCAATTATAACACACACAAAATGCACACTGTTGCCCCTTAAATGAATAGGACTTGGAGAGAGCTCAGAGAGCAAGCAACAGTGGAAAGAAAGAATACTTGTCAATATAGACAAAGCGGGCTTAGTTTTAACCATCATATCCTTTAAAATCATTTAATGGAAGATTATGGCTAAACATTTCTTGTATTTTCTGTCTTTAGACAACACAATAGTAACAGTTATCCAAACACTATATAGTACTAGGATTGAGTATATATATATATATTTTCAAGACCCGGTTGTGAAGGATTTCTATACTAAGATTATTTTCGTTGTTGCTATTACAAAGCTTCATAACTGTAAGTCTGAACATTTCATGTTATATCCCAGAATTAACTAGCAGTCAGTTTGGAATGTCAAAGAGAAGACAGAAGTCCAGTCACCCATTCAGTCCTTACCTCTCTAAATACTGATGGACTATCCTGGTTGCATGCCATATACTTAGTTACCAGGAATGTGACGGACCTGAACTCCTGTCTCACCTCTACCATGCACCACTTTTGTGATCTTGTATAGACTACTTAATTCCTTTAAGAAACATTTTCTTAATCAGTAAAATTAAGATGATAGTATTACTTACCATTATTCAAAAAAAAAATTAGGATTCCAAATTATCATCTAGTAATGAAATGCAGCTAGTGAAACAATTTAATTTTCTAATTAATTGGCTGTTATCATGTGCAAAATGTGAGACACAAGAGCTCAGAGTCCTGGTTTCTGAATTCTATTTTTTTTTAATTTGTTTTGGAGAGGTTTTTTGCTATAGGGCGTGTGTGCTTGCCAGACAGACAGAGAGAGAGAGACAGAGAGACAGAAAGCCGGAATCACCCCCTGGAGGGGATGGTCACGCTGCAATCCCTTCTCCTCCATTCTCCTCTCGGGATCTTGGGCACACACGCACACACGCCCGGCATGAGTTTAAGCCACCGGGTCCGGGACTCGAACTGCGGTCGACTAGGTGGGAGTCCAGCGGCATAGCCATTATGCTAACTGCTGGTCCCCTGGTTTCTGAATTCTTAAGGAGGACTCACTAATGTGACAGGTGCCTTGAGAAGAACATATATGATAAAGAAAGAAATGGCATCTAAGTTAAACAAGCTGGTTTTAGGGAAATTTAGTTAAGTTATGTACAAAGGACCTGGAAGGATGAATCTAATGTTCAGGAGAAGGTCTAGACTATGAATATATTTGTCCTAGTCTCTGATGGTGGCTCAGCAGTAACAACATTCTGCAAGGCTGACACGTAGG